CACTTTTAAAAGTCAATATCAGATAGATTTTGCCAAATACAGAAAAAATATGTACCAACAATCTTTTGTTCTTAACCATGAATTTATGTGAAGTTATTTGCAACCTTTTCTAGTTCCTTACAACATTTACACCAAGGATGCTCACCCCCTAGCCTGTAGTCCAGATCCAGCCTGTGAAACTTATGTCATCTGGCCTGCAGGGCTCCTCACAGATCCAAAAACTGGTGGCAGGAGAGCAATGGCAATGCTAATTACTTGCCTGCTGCCAAATTTCCAGACTCATTGGGAGCCAGATGGTATGACCCTGTATGCTAGATTTGGCGCACACAACCAGAATGGCACAGGACCCAATCTGAGCATATGAGGTCCAGGCAGAGAGAGGCAGGAACCAGGTTCAGAGGGCCAGATTCAGACAGTATGAGGTGGTGTTAACCCTTTATAAAATTGTTAATGAACTGGCAGTAGCTTTTGGCTGAGCAACCAAAAACAGCTGCCAATTCATTAGCAGTTATGAAAGAGTCAGCACTGGACTCTGCCCCTGTTGCTTGTTGTCCTAGGAAAAAAGGGCATTTTTGGAGCATAGACTAACCATGAGAAAGGCAGGTGTAGACCATGATTCTGGAAAAAATACTGTTTTCTATATTCTGCCTTCCAAACCAAGGCACATGTCTAATTTGGGGCAGGGGGTGTGGTATGCAAAAAAATATACTGGTTATACTAATGAACACTGAATAAGTTCATATGTATTTTTCAGCTAATATATGAGTTTGTAATCACAAAGGTGTATCAAATTCTCTCAAACATTGGATACTAATGTACTAACTATTAACTCTATTTTTGTACAATACAAAAATAATCAAACAGGACCCAGATGGGTCCTAAGGCATGTTCTGTACTTTACAATTCGGACTTTACTCCTTCATTATTCATGCAAGTTTTCAATGAACAATCTTCCAATAAACTCATGCATTTTCTATAAAAGGGGCGCTCAATCCCTGGCCCACGGACCAGATTCATCCCCTGGAGCCATGTCATCCAGTCCATGGAGTTCCCCAACGGGTCCAAAAATTTGGTGATGAGGGAGCAGTGGCCTCATTAATTGCCTCTCCCCTGCTGCCAACTTTCCAGACAAGTGGCAAGCTCTGTGGGCTAGATAGTGTGTCCCGGCATGCTACATCAAGCACACAGGATGGTGCAGGGCCCAATCCCAGCATGCAGAAATGGCCAAGGCTGCACAGGGCCTGATCCAGGAATGTGGGACCAGCCACAGCTGTGCAAGGCCAGGTAGAAGTCGCAGGGCTTGATCCTTGCATGCAGGGTCCAATCCAGCCCACGTACTAACCCCATGCCACTCATCTGATCCATGGGACCAAAAGGTTTAGTGCCACTGTTCCATAATATTTCCAATACTTAGGGTCATATTGCAACCTCTATGATAAAAGAAAAAAAGACATCGAGAAGAACCACTTCAGCTCATTAGGTTTTCAGCATGATGAAAGGAGTTAGGAGAAGTGTCAGAAGCAAAGTGGGTGGTTTACAACCCTACAGGATCCCCCAAAAAGACTTGGAACCCAAACAGGCACCGTCTCTTCATGCTACTCCACTTTCCCCTGGGTAACAGCTTCTTAGTAAGACTTGCTGATATTAGCCTACGCAATCTTCTCTTGAGAAAAAGGGATGTTGCAGTATGGAAATTTATTCAGCTTCTAGGAGTGGTTCCTCCTTCTCTGAGGGCATTGCTGCTGAACTAAAGGAAAGCAAGCTAACAGTCACTCAGTCTACCTGGTCTCAAGCAATATCAGCATCCTTAAGTCTTGCACATTTGGGGCCAGAGGCAAAGAGTGTGCAGAGGGAAGCAGCTGTCCTTACTTATATTCCTCTGCCCACTGTTATTTTTTCCTGTGTAACCAGAGGGGACCACCCAGCATGCAAACCCCTACCATCACAAACCATTTCCCAGAAAAGCTTAATGTAGTTTCATAGTTTCTAGGGTCGGAAGGGACCTGAGAAGATCATCTAGTCCGACCCCCTGCCATGGCAGGAAAGAGTACTAGGGTCAAACGACCCCAGCAAGGTGTTCATCTAACCTCTTAAAGACCCCCAGGGTAGGAGCCTGCACCACTTCTCTTGGAAGTTGGTTCCAGACCCTAGCCGCCCTGACCGTGAAGTAGCGCCTCCTGATATCTAACCTAAACCTACCCTCTGCCAGCTTGTGACCATTATTCCTGGTCACTCCTGGCGGTGCTCGGGGGAACAGTGACTCCCCCAATGCCTGCTGATCCCCCCTGACTAGTTTATAACAGGCCACAAGATCCCCCCTCAGCCTTCTCTTTTGGAGGCTGAACAGGTTCAGGTCCCGTAGCCTCTCCTCATAGGGCCTGCCCTGCTGTCCCCTGATCATGCGAGTGGCCCTCCTCTGGACCCTCTCCATGCTGTCCACATCCCTCTTGAAGTGCGGCGCCCAGAACTGGACGCAGTACTCCAACTGCGGCCTGACCAGTGCCGCATAGAGGGGGAGGATCACCTCTTTGGACCTGCTCGAGATGCATCTGTGGATGCATGACAAGGTACGGTTGGCCTTCCTAACTGCCTCCCCACACTGCCGACCCATGTTCATCTTGGAGTCAATGATGACTCCAAGATCCTTTTCCGCCTCCGTGCTGACAAGAGGGGAGTTCCCCAGCCTGTAGGTATGGTGCCGGTTGTTCCTCCCCAGGTGCATCACCTTGCACTTGTCTGTGTTGAAACTCATCCTATTCTCATCCGCCCACCCTTGTAACCTGTACATCATCACCAACCTTAAGAAATCCAGTTTGACCTCTTAACCACAATACATGTGTGAAGGTAAACTGATGGTTCATAAAAATCTGTTAAACAAGCATTGGAATTACACCAAAACACTTCAAAACTCCTCTGTTTTATCAAGGGAAACCACTTCAGGTCACAGTCAACTCAGACAAGTGTGAAGCTACCACCAGAATGCAAGCATGTAAACCAGGGGTGTGGTGTAACATCCTGTGCTGTGCACAAAGCAGCTTTTTCTCATGTTGTATGCAAAATGTTAACAGAATCAAGGTAATGCATTTCCAAATTGCGGCAAATTGTTCCAGGCTTTAACGTTTGAGCATTTGGTACAATGCAATGCAGAAGGCAAGTTTGTGGGGGTGGGGTGAGAAGGGGTGAACAGGAATTAAAAGTTAGTTTTCTAAATCCTATTTAACAAAAAGTTCTAGGTATTCAGCACCTTGAAAAATCATGTAAATTATTTAGGCATCTATATATGGGATTTGGAGCCTACCTTTAGACACTTAACAAAAAAAAAGAAATCTGACCCAGAGTTATTACTGGACATGTGTTGATACACAGATTACCAGTTACCCATTGTCAGTGAGCTTTCCCATCAAGATTGATATTCACACTGTTTTAACTAACCAGGACAAAGAAATAGGAACCCAAAGCATCCACAGAGTGGAGCATCTCCTTGTCTAGGGTGACAGTCTACTGATACTGAGCTGTCACAGCAGATCTTATACTGTTTCCCCACCCAGATCCTGGACTAAAGGCATAGCTGGTATGCACCTGGATCATCGTCACTGTCCGAAGAAGCTGGTAGCAGTTTGCATGTAACAAATTAACTTGAACACCTCAGTTTCACACCAGTTGTCATTCCACTCGCCATAAAAATCACTATTAGTTTCAGCAGTCAGAAGGACATGGATCCAGAGATGAGGTGATGTGCAAAGGTTTTCCCCACATATCCAGATCTGTAGAGAATATCACTAGTCCAGACAAAAGCAGATGTGATCTAGCCACCATCTCAATTTTGTCTGATCTAGTTTCTTGCACAATAACCTGAAATTTCCTCACAGTGGGAAGAACTTTAATCAGCTGAAGAGGAAACATTTCAGACTGAGCTAGTGTGGAATAAATCTGTAACTCAAAAATGCTGTAGTTTCTATTCTGGGACAAAAACAGCTTGGTTTCCTTTTCTCCACCGCCATCAGTTAAGACCTTGCAAACCATATCAGCCACGAAACCTAAATCTATCTCACTTCTGTTTGATGTAAAAAAAAACCCATGTGCTCTCAGCTCTCCCAATGCCTAGAAAAGGTCAGCATTTAAATAAAGAGATGAGTTCTGATATGACAGTTGATTCTGGAAAGAAAACATAACACTTAAAAAATAAAAAAGCTGCACCCTCCATAACTTCTTACATGGAGAGCTCCTCGGGTATGCTGAAAAAGGATATAGTTTGCACCTGTTTATTTATAAGCAACTGGCCATTATAAGGATGACTGCACTTCCTAAACCTAAATTATGCTTCATTAACAGGTTATGTAAAATTACTATGTTAAAACACAGCTTGATTTGTAGAATCATGAACTCCCAAGTCTTTGATTTGCCACTTATTCACTGGCAGGTAAGTCAGTTCTCTACCCCATACAAGCTACTTTTCATTCATGGAAAAGCTACTCGTCTAAAAAAAGGCGTTATGTGGATTTATTCTTCATATTTGTATAATCCTAAATTTGTACACCGAGATACACTTTCCACAATGAAATTTAAATACAAGAAAATATTGGGAAGAATGCGTGTGCGTACAAGAGAGAAAAATCACAGCTCACACCATTAGCACAAGGGCTTCTTTCTACAGAGAAAAGGAGTTGTGAATACAGAATAAGAGTTTAACAAAAACATCTATAAAACAAGTTAGATAACTAGTAAGACACTAGTGAATGACAGACTGAAACACTATTAATGGAGAGAGGGGGTGGGAATTTTTTTAATCTATATTACAAATAACTAAAAGATAGAATATCAAATGGAAACATTACATTATGACTGGGAAACAATTTCTGGTTAACTGCATGTTTCACTCATCACCTTCCCCCCTCTGGTCCTTTTCTCTCCAGCTGCACATTATTGACACAAATGACCAATTTCATAAACATTTACACATCAATTTTTTTCTGTATTTAATGTTAGCAAGGCCACCATACCTTTTTCTTGTCCACAAATTTCTACCACAGTTATGTCCTAATTTAGGTCAAAGATATGGAGACTGTGCAACACCAGTAAGCAAGCAACTAGATAGCTAACTACAGGACTTTTCACATCTTGAGTGTTACTCCTGCTGGTTCATCTTCTTCCTCATCAACAAGGAAGAAATCCTGAAGAGTATTAGTGACATCATCTGTCAAAACACAAGAGAATACAGACTTAATCTGAGCCAGCTTTATCTGCCATACAACAAATAATAATATTGTTATTGCCCAAAGATTGTAAAGGTGGCCAAGAAAGGCCTCATCTTAAACAGAATAATAATAATAAAAACAAAAGGGCTGAAAGGGACCTCAGGAAGTCATCTAGTTCAACCTCCTGCTGTAAGTAGGATTACCCTTGTCTACACCAGTGTGCTCACAGGGTAGTCCACAGAATCTGGCTGCAGAGCAACCCCACATGTCAGCACGATCTGGTGTACCAAGACCCTGTCATCCAACCCCCAGGATTCCCCATGGGTGTGGAAGTTTGATAGTGGGGGAGCAGTGGCAGCATTGCTCCCAGAGCCAAGATGATGACCACTACCACCACTCACCCACCTCCAAATTCCCAGACTTGTGGGGAGCCCTGCAGGATAGATGACTTAAGCCTGCAGGTCAGAGGCTGAGAACCACTGGCCTAAACTATCTTGGATAACCGTTTGTCAAACTTGCACTTGAAAAATTCGGCCTCTCTACGTAATCTGTTCCAGTACCAAATCTACTCCTAGTTAGAAAGTTCATCCTAGTATCCAACTTAAAATTTTCCTTTTCCATAATATCTAGAACTTGCCACTCACCCTCCTTGTGCTATGAAATTATAGTGTAAGATAGTACAGTAATTCAATGGGTTACTGACCATTCTGTTGGGAACAAAGCACTTCAGGAACAGGACAAAATACACATAATTGTTTTGTTATGACAGCATGCACCTGAAGAGTGATACAGATTGAATCCTGGCTGCATGTTCAGTGCCTAGGCTATGCTGGCATATTTAAAAGGCCACAGGCTTTCTTAGCTGTGTGTTACACGGGCAGGATTATATTGACATCCTGACTGGAATTAAAAATAGTGAAAGGAAAAGGACAGATCTCAGTCTTGAAGCTTTTAATGATTTCTGTTGTTCTGAAATTAGACATCAACCAGCAATACCAGGGTCACAGGTTCTGGTTTCAAGTCAATCCCTCAACTACCTCCATGTAAGATTTGAAAACTTGCAAGCATACTTATTTGCTGCATAGAATAAATATCATGACTGAGTAGGTCTGTCTGAATTCAAAGGGGTGAAATTACCAAGCAGTTATATTACAGTCTCCAACAATGTTCCTACATACCAACAGCAAGAAGCCAACAAAGAAGGTAGATGTTAGGGCTGTAAGAAGCTTCAGGTGCCGATTCGATTTGGAGGAGATTCAGCCCAATTCAGTGGGTGAACCTCTGAATCCAGAGACAAATAAAAAGGTCCAAATTGATTTGGAAAAGATTCAAAAAGCTTTGGAGAGATTCGGAGATGCAGGCAGTCCCCGCTTGCCGCTGCAGGTAGCTGGACCCAGACTCTGTACCAGTAAGTACAGGGTGAGGAGGGGGACCATGGGGGGACCCCCCAGCAGGCCCCATTCCCTGCCTGCTTCCCCAGCCCCCCTGAGTGTCCCCTGACCTACAGCCACTCTCCCAGCCCTGTCCGTAGCTGCCCCACCCAGCCCTAGTGTCCCAGCATTTAAAGAAAAAAAGCCCTGCACTCACAGGTTGCTGCAGCAGCCATCGGGGCTTCTGGGGGCTCATGGTAGAGCCCCCCCACACAGTGCAGGATTCAACCCCTGCCCCAGCAGCAACCAGTGAGTGCAAGGCTTTTTTTTTTTTATTTTATTAAATAGCCGAGAGGCTGAGGCTGGGAGAGCGGGCAGGGGATGGGGGTAAATGGCAGAGCGCCCCCCTCCAGCGCAGGACAGTGGGCATTGTCCTCCCTCACCTAGCAGGAGCGTGTGAGTGCTGGGTTTGTTTGTTTTTTGTTTTGTTTTAAAGAGCCAGGACATTGGGGCCAGCCGGGGCAGCCACTGACAGGGCTGGGAGACCAGGTGGGGGATGGGGCCTTTTTGATTCGGAGATTAAGCCAATTCAGCAGCAGCCAAATGTATAAATCAAGTTCAGCCCAGTCAATTCAAGACAGTGATTCAAATCACCAAATCAAATCCTTGTCCCCCGAATCAGCCAAATCCAAATCCAAAGCAACTACTAGCCACTTCGCAGAGGCCTAACAGATATGCAGTTAACAGAGAATACTTGCAGAATCAGTGTAAAAACTGTGCCAGGAGAAAACAAATCTCAGAGAACAAGTTAAATACATGTCCAGAGATATTTAATATATAAATGGAATTAATAAAAAAAAAAAAACCTACTGAAAATACTGAAAGAGATAAAATATTCAGCTAAATGTTGCCTTTACAAAATATTAGATGTTCTGAACAAGCACTTATTTTCACCCTGGCTAAACTGTTTTAAACCATGCAAAGATAAAACATGAAATTACCAGACATAACAGGAATTTCAAAAATTAATAAAGGTAGGCAAAGTCTTTGTGTAGAAGTGATATCTTTTATTAGACCAACTAAACAGTTGCAAAAATGTTATTTGCAAGCTTTCGGACACACGCATCTTTGCTCGGGCAAAAAAAAGGGAAATTAAAAATGGTGAGAGATATGAAAGATGGTCAGAAAGCCCTCAGGTATGAAAAAAGCCAGGCTTTAGAAAGCAGTTCTTCTGGAATGCAAATTTAGGAGGATTGCAGAGAACAAAAACAGGTTGTTTACCTGTAGGCACCAGATGTCAGCCAGGTTGGGGGGGCAGAGGGAAGCATAAAAATCAATGTTAAAAATTAGTCCTAGTTGTTGAAATTGGCATTTTTCTTCATCTTCACATTGTGAAGTTTCCATTTTAAATGGCAAAATGCAACCTCTTCCATAGCCGTGTTGATAGATATTGCCTCTACCCAAAGATTCTGCCTGCCTTTTGTGCTCAAACTAACAAGGACTAGATCCCTGAAAGATTCACAAGTAAATTTAGCGTGTAATCCTGTATGGATTAGAACAAATCCTGAAAACCAAAGAATAGTAAAACATTTAGGAAACAGGTCCACAACTATCTATAAAATTAAGCTCTTTATGAAATGGGCTTCCAGTTGACAAAATAGGGAACAAGTGGTGCCTGCAGATATATGTGGAGATGCCGCTCCGATGCACTGTAATGACAGCATGACAGAGCAGACTTGATTAATAGAGTCTGCTGGAGTGTGCTAATTAGCGTGCACCAGCAGCCTCCATGTTTCATATATTCAGTTTCCCCATGTTTCAAAATGGCAGCAGGGGCATTTTAACTAAAGCTCTTTCAATGAGCTTTAGCTAAAGTGTCCCTGCCACCATTTTGAAGTGTGGGATACTGGATACTCAAGATGATGTGGGAGCTTAAATTAGAGTGGCTCTGAGAGCCACTCTAAAGTGCTCCCTGGCCCCCAGAATGACTGTATACCCTATAATAAAACTCTTGAAATATGAACCGAATTTTCTCCCAAGAAATATCCAAAAAATAATGAATGCTGGATTTACTAGAAAAGTGCAATTAAGGTTCAACACTATAAAATGTTCTAACATGAGTCCCTCCAAAAATGCTAACCACTAATCAAACTGCTTAAACCTTACACATGCAAATATTTTCAATGGGACAAGACAGACCTACTTCTTTACAATTTTGGGCCATATTTAATAATTTTAAATCCTTCAAAGCAAGTTACATATTAGGCAAAAATGTTTACAGAATTAATTGGCAGAAGAAGTTACCTTGTCAAATTTGTTCTTAACTCTTGTTAACCAGAGGTCAAGTTCAATGTATTTAAAATGTATGCAAGGGGTTTGTGCTAGCTTTTTTCTTCTCAAATGCTGCAGCTACAGTATTCATGGCCTGACAATTTTATAAACCATGATCTCATAATAATGATGTACTAAAAATGACACTTCCAAGAGTAGTTTCACCTTTAAGAGGCCATTCTAACAGGAACATTACATTTTAAAAATACACTAAATAAGATTATTGAAATACTCTCATTCAGGCTTTAAGAAGTACAACGTATAAACTACTAAGCCACTGTAACATCATTCTGTAAGAATGTGAAAGAAGTTAACATTACTTCTCCTTGTAGATATTCTTTTGAACAATTTGTCATATGCATGTAAACATCATATTGCCATTTTGTTGTTAATCATTGCTTTACTGACTCCACATTCATAAAACAAAATAATGAAGTCTCATGCTTTTAATTGTAAAATGTTATTTTTCCCTCAACATCCATTAACCAAAGCAGGAACTGTAAATATAAAACTATCTTCTCAGCTGGTACAAGTCTGCACAGTCAAAAGAACTATGTTGGTTGCTATTGGGTGAGGAAATGTCTTTTACTTAAGAAAACCTTCATACGATTCAACTATCTGTGCTTGCCTGTACCATGATATTCCACTCAAATTGCTTCTCAAAAAAAGCCATTTTTAACAGACTCCTTTGGATTTTGGGGAACAAGTTCTACCCATTCTCTCATCCTAGTGGATATAACAAGGTGATCTATGCACATTAATGCTGAATAATTTAACTAAACCTCCTTCTATGTCTGCCTTTTCTTACAATTCAGGTATTAAAAGTATTTGCCCTTACCAGGTGGCATTCCCTGTTTAAGGGCAACAATATGGGTACAGGAGGAGACGTGATTAGCCGTGTTAGTCTGAAGTCAGGCAGGAAGTGGAGAATGGTGTTAAGAGCAGGACTGCCCCACTCATGACCGACGGGCTACGTGTAGTTCCTAAAGGGTTAACACATGGCCTATAGGCTCCCGCCCAGCCACTATTACTCCCATTCCTCCTGCTGCAGTGGCAGCCAAGGTCCCTGGGCTCCCCCTGTAGCCTCCTGCTGTGCTGCTCCATCCTGCAAACCCATGCCCCACTCCTGGGAGCATGGCACAGTAGCATAGTGGGAGAGAGGGGAGCCAGGGAAGGATCAATGCTGCACACTCCATGTATAGCCAGGAGTCCTAGATACCCACGGAGGGGTGGGGGAGGGCAAGAGGGAAGGTGTCAGGGTGAGGCTGCCTGCATTGCACACAGCCAGGAAATC